TGCCTCAGCTTCCCAGGGTGCTGGGATCATAGGTATATGCCATCACACCTGACTTCTATCAGATTTTATTTAAAAACAAAAATTGACAGGTTGATTCTAAAATTTATATGGAAATACAAATGGTCTAAAATAGGGAAAGCACTATTTCAAAACAAGTACAAAGTAGGAAGACTTGTACAGTACTTCCTGCATTCAAGACTTCCTATAAAGGTATTCAAGGCCAACTGTGGTGGCTCACACCTGTAATCCCAGCACTAGGGAGGCTGAAGCAGGTGAACTGCCACAAGTTCAAGGCCATCCTGGGCTAAATGGTGAGCTCAAGGTCTGCCTGAACTATACAGTGAGACTCTGTCTCAAAATAAATTAAAATAAATTTAATAAAATAAATTTAATTTAATTTAAATTAAAAAGTAACTATTCAATATACTGAGTTTCTGACAAAATAGAGCTTAGATCGAGGAAACAGAACAGAATTCAGAATAAGAACCAAACATACAGAAACAACTGATTTAAAAAAAAAAAAAAAGATGTCAAGGCAATTAAAGGAGAAAAAGTCTTTTCAACAAATGCTGCCCCAATAACTACCTCTTTGGATGGAAAAGAATGAACTTTCAGACCCTGTCTAGCATCAGTACAAAATTAACTCACAATGTAAGAAGTAAAACTTCTAGAAGAGAACACAGAAACAATCTTTGTAACCTTGGAGTAATCAGATACCTCCATAAAAGAAAAATGACTTATTGGATTTGGGAAAAATAAAATATTCAGGACACCATTAGGGTTAAAAAAATGATAGTATGGGAGAAAACATATATCAAAAGACTCCCATCTGGAAGATGAAAAGAACTCTTACAACCAAGTTACAAATTATAAAGGGTACATAGCCCAATTTTTAAATTGCACAAGTGATTTGAACATCTAACTTATAAAAGGAAGTTATACATAAAGGAAATAAGAGATGAAAAGCTGCTCAACATCGTGGTGGCAGTTAGGGAGGCTTTCCAACAATCTACCTGGGGGACTGGTGGAATTCATTTTTAGGTCTGTTTGGGTGGATCAGGGAGGTGAGGTCCTAGGGTCTATGTCTAGTCTGGCCACTTCTGCTCAAGTATTCTTTGTCAGCTCTTCTTCCTAGCTACCGTCAACTAAGCAGCTTTGCTCTGCCACACCCTCCCACCATGGCATTTCTGCCTTGGAACCAGCCAACCATGGACTGAATCCCCTGAAACCATGAGCCAAACTATGCCTCTTCTCCTTTAAGTTGTGGGTGCTAGGTATTGTATCTCAACTACAAGAAAACTGACTAATGCAATCCCTAACAATCAAGAAATTTTAATTAAAATTTTATGACATCATACACCCATTAGGGAGCAAGGCTAAAATTAAGAGGTCTGCCAATACAAAGTTTTGGTGAGGATGGGAAAAAACTAAACTTCTAACACACTTCTGTTAAAAAAGGTAAAGTGGTACACCACTTTAGAAACCTGTTTGACAGGGTATTTGTTTTTGGTTTTGTACCAGAAATCAAACTCAAGACCTTGCACTTGCCTGGCAGACAGAGCACACAGCTACATTCCCGGGCCTATTTTTTAAAAGGATAACTACTCACAAAAAATCCTGCCACTCTACCCAAGAAAAGTAAAAATACAAGTCTACAGCAAAGTTCAGAAAAATATTTATTCATAATTACCAAAAGTTTGGAAGCAATGGAAATGTGCAGCACCAGATGAATGGATAAAATTGTGAAAACACTTATCTATTCTATCGAATTCAATAAAACGGAACAAATTATTGACACAAAAGACACCATAAACAGATCTCAAAATTAGCATGCTGAGAGAAATCAGAACCAAAAGTGTTCATATATGATTCCAATCACACAACATTCTAGGAATTGCAAACTACTCTACAATGACAGACATCCCATCAAGGCCTATCTGAGGCTAGAAGCAAAAAAGGATTATAATTGAGCATCAGGCAACTCTTGGGAATGGTGGAAATTTGTGTATCTTGGTCATGCTAGTTCTTTCACAGATGTATACACCTGAAAAAAAAAATCAAATTATGGACTTTAGATCAGAAAATTTATTCTATATAAATTACATCTTAAAAAGTTGTTTTAAAGTTGCATACTGGGCTAGGAATGTAGCTCAGTGGTAGAGCACTTGTCTAACATATAACAGTCCATGGGTTTAATCCCTAGCACACACACACACACACACACACACACACACACACACAAAAGTTATATGCTAAAGCTTTCCTTTGTGAATAATGAAGAAAAAAAAAAAGAGTCAAAATAAATAATCCAAGAGTTTACATTTACAAGTAGGTCCATATAAAATAGACCATATAGGGCCAGGGATTTAGCTCAGTGGTTCCGCCACCTGCCTGGCAAATGCAAGGTCCCAAGTTTGATCCCCAGTACAAAAAAGAAAAAAAAAAATAGACCATAGAAAGAAGTAGAAGTTTGAATATTTTAAATTTCCATATTGCCTGGGGAAATGGGAAATACACTAGCCACTAACCATTCAGGTTTATTCTACATTGTAAATTCCTAATACAGTTTTAGTCACTGCTATACACTAAGAAAACAATAAATACTTTGCACACAAAATGTATGTTTTCTAAATTTATTACTTAACCCAACCAATTCAAATCTTCTACTTCTCTAAGGTAATAGAACATTAACTTCTCATAAGACTTTTTCATTCACTTCACTTTTCATTAACGAAGTGTCTACAGCGAACCTCTCTCGAGCCAGTACAACAAGGAAGCACAAAAACTAAAACAGCAGGAAACTCACCCACTGATCACAAAACACGCACACAGTACGCAAGTACACAATCCTTCAGGGGCTAAATGTAAGGGTGCACATAACACAGTCTGAGCCAGCTTGGGCCAGCAAGACAGGATGAATATGAAATGATAGGAAGGAAGCTTCTGGTGAAAATAAAAACTCGTAAGACCAAAAAACACTGGCAGTGCTAACTGAAACCTTCCAAAGCAACTTGCCACAAAGGACCGTCGACAAAAATATCTGCAATTATTTCTGTATAGAATTTTGTTCTACAGAATCCTTAGAGGGTTTGGAATAAGAATGAAGTGCCAAAAATAGACATTTAATTAAATACAGTAAAATCTTCATTATTCAAAACTGAACTGATTAGCACAGTTACAAAGCAGAATTTTTTTTTTTTTTTTTGGTACCGGGGATCGAACTCGGGTCCCTGTGCCTGCAGAGCAGGCGGCGAAACCACTGAGCTAAATCCCCAGCCCCTCGAAGCAGAATTTTTATAAAGCCTCTATACAAACGTCTGGAGACGTGTGTACCAAAGACTGTCCTTGAATGTACACACAATGTGCATAAACTTACAGACACTGCACCTATCATGTTAGCAGTATCTAAATTGCAGTTTCCTCATCTGTTAAACAATCGCAAAATTGGTTCTATCATTATATGTTCATAATAAAGATCCTTCCCTCCCTCCCGGAACAGGGTTTCACTAGGTGGCCTAGGCTAGACTTGAACTAATGTTCCTCCTGCCTCAGTCTCCTGAGAGCTGAGATTACAGGTATGAGCCACCATGGCTAAGAGCCTTTTCTAAAACAAAAAAACAAAACTCAAGCTACTTATTAAATCAGTGAGGAAGTATACAAGTGACAAGTGCATTTTTGGGGAATGTGATAAAACAGTTACTTAGAAGAGCGTATCCTCAGCAAGATCACTCAACCCCAACATCAAGAGACTATCATAACATTATGTAATACCCCAAATCCTAATAGGGCAGGAATACAAATCAACCACATCATGCTGATAACTGTGTCTGTTTCCTCAATAGCAAACTGTATAGAACTCTGTAGTAAAAAGATCCCTAAATTGGGAATATGGATTTTTTTTTCCTATGTTACAAGCTTTTTGGATTGTTGGCATTCGACAAGTCATCTGGCCTTGGGTTCTTCTCTATTTAAAGATTAAACAGATGATCTTCTGAAGCTCTCCCAACTATACTGACCTCTCAAGAAAAAAGGTACACTGGGGAGGAGGGGGGGCTTAAATTACACTGGTTAAGCATTAGAACTGCACAGCCTCATGCTCAATGTCCTATATAAACATATGTAACCATGTAGACTATTAGAGCAGAAACTGATTCATAAATATTCAAATATTATTACTTCTTCCAACTTACTGAATTGGCCTTAGTAGCTATACATACAGGAATTCTTTCATGTGACTTCAAAATACACTAATTTTCCACTACAGCCCTTAAGAAATATTCAAAGGCCAAAATGAAGTGTCAAGGGCCGAGGATTTAGCTCAGTGGTGCTGCCACCTGCCTCACAAGCAATGAGCAACTATGGTGATGTATCACGCAACAAATGAGTACTGTTAGGCTCATTTATGTCCTTTCACTTTTGATTTCTTACAGATTATTATTTTCAAAACTTAACTTTGTTTTATAATCATGTGACACATTAAATGATCCCAAAGTAAACAAGTTCACCCAGAAAAAGTCCAGGTTCTTCTCTGTCCTTCCAAGCACTCTCAAATGCACAGTGAGGTCCAGTAAAGAAGGCTAAGTGCACAGCTTCTAGATTCACATCTCAACTGCGTGACCTGGGACTGTGACTTCACTTGTCTAAATCTGTTTTCTTGTGTCTACGAAGGTGACAATAACACAGTCCTCTGAGGGATGTGGACAGGATTCAATAAAACCATGCACAGGCAGTGTCACTCTGTGGGGTCTCAGGAAGACCTCGATGTGCTCTCCACAAATCTGCAGTGCAGGCCCAGATGAGGAACTGGACCTGGACGACCGAGTCACGACCTGCAGTCACGGACCCGAGGGCCATGACCACAACTCATCTTCCAGCAACACGGCCTAGTGCTCACTCCAGAGACTGCTGGGTGCACCATACCCCATGCATATCACTCTTCCCTAGGGCCAGACAAGGGCAAAGAGCTGTCTTCCTGCCCAGAGCAACCTGCAGAGACTCACTGTGTTCAGCGCATTGAGGGTGGTGTCATCACGAGACGCAGCGACACAGCCGTCCTCCGTGGAGCCGCCATCACACATCCCTGCAAATGCTGCCATGCTCCTTTGGAAGAAAGGGAGTTTTTCCTTCATCAGCACACAGGAGAGTCAGTACAGAGATTTTACCCCTCAATTTTCAAAGTACATTTCAGCCCAGACACAATCCAGTCCTACTTGCATATGAACAAGGGCCCTTAGTACTGGCTCTGCTCCTGCAACCCTTCACTCCTCCGGAAGTAGAAAAATTGCTTTAGGTTGGATCCATCTACTACTGCTTCCCTTGCTTTCATAGTACTAAGGTTCAGATTTCAGCGCATTTGCTACCATACTCTTCTAGATTACCATCTTTTGAAAGAAATCTCAGCTAGTTGTAGCCACACATGCCTGTCATCTCAGCACTCTGGAAGGCTGAGGGAGGAAGATCACAAGTTCAAACCCAGCCTAGGTAACTTAGTGAGACACTGTATCAAAATAAAAAATTAAAGGTTTGGAGATATAGCTCAGTGTGAAGGCCCTGGAATCAATCTCCAGGACTACCAAAAAATTAAAATAAAATAAAAGTTTAAAAATGCCTCCATATGGTTAACTGCTATGCGTTAATGAAAAAATTGAAAGAGTCTCTAGAAAAATATGTGAAATTACCTCCTCTGAGATTTAATTCCTCTCACCTATACATCAACATCCTTTAGGTGAACTGAAAGCAAAATGTCTAGAGACAGTCACTCATTCCATGTGCACATCCTCCTCTCTCCGCACAGTAACACCATGTACAGCACTGCTGGCTGCGGCCAGCCAGAGTGAGAATCCAGATGCCTGGAGCCTTTCTTGAGTTTTTTTCTGCTGCACACTGCCAGTGTTGCAGTAAATTCCAAAATCACTGCAGACAAAAATGTCTGCCTATGCTATGATGGATTGGGCAGGATATAAAACTTCTCTTTTAGGGCCAGGGATTTAGCTCAGTGGTTTCGCCGCCTGCTGCGCAAGCGCAAGGACCCGAGTTCGATCCCCGGTTCCCAAAAAAAAAAAAGAAACTTCTCTTTTGCATGTTTGGCATTTGCATATTACCAAGTTCTATAAGAAATTACAGGTGAATGTCTTCATGCAGGTAAGCCACAAAAACGTCCAGTTCGGATTGGACAGTAGCAAACAGCCATGAGGGAGAGTGAACATGGAAATCGAAGTGGTGCTGTAAGACAGGGTGAACAACTCCATTACTCAGCTGGAGTGAGAGGAGCTGCTGATCACATGTCTGACTTAAGATATTTTCCTTCTGAAGAGTTTTAAAATCTGATGTAGAGCAAATACCAGGAAGAACAAAAGGACTTTACCATGGTAAACCATTTTTATAGGGTAAGAAGACAGGGCCCTGGTTACAGAGGGCACAGAGAAACTTAAATAAAATTCCAGGGAAAAGGAGAAAGTTTATTGCCAGTCAGTTCAGACAGCCTAACTGAGAAGGAGGATGGGGCTGGTTTCTATTACCTTGCTGCCCTCAAGTACATAAGGAGGTCACAGTCATTCACTCCAGGCATCCAGACCAACTCCTCATGCTGGGTCACAGTATCCCCATCTGGAGAAGGAAATGGCTGCAAATCTGGAAGTTTGGCCTGTAAGACAGGGATGAAGAAGTCATAATGGAGGCATAAACCAAAAAGCACTGTCTCAGTAGGCAATGCTTGGACACAGATGCAATGGTTTACTAAGGCTCTCTTTAGTCAGCAGAAAGGTAACAGGAAAACTGTGGGCATTTAGCCTGGCCTATCCCACAGGTCAGGACCAGTTCACCATAGAAGGGGTCACAACAGACTGCTTCATTGCCATTTAGGGAGCAGCAGACAGTGTCAGAGAAAACCTACACCATGATCCACAGACTGTATCTGAAATTGACATGTGTAAATAAAATAAACAAAACCAGAAACACCTGCAGAGATAACCGCTGCTTGATAAAGAAGCAACACACAGGAGCCAGGGATTTAGCTCAGTGGTTCCGCCGCCTACCTCGCAAGTACAAGGTCCCGAGTTCGATCCCCGTTACCCCCCCAAAAGTCAACACACATATACATTTCCTATGTAACAGATTTACATAGAAAACACACACAAATAACAAATCTTCACCTAAGGATTATTTGTTTAAAAAATGTAAATGAACTATCCTATGATATTAGTATTACTCAAGAGCATGAGTAGCAATATCAACCTTAGTCAACATAAAAAATGAACTACTTAAGTGGAAAACATAGGAGACTGGAGCTGTGGTGCTAGAAACAGATCCATCTGTGGGGAATTGGGGGGATTAAGGAGGCTTCAGGGATAACACAAATGTTCTGTGTCTTAGCATGAATCACCACCATAAGCTGAACAACACACCAAGAACAATTTGCCATACTTAAAGTATACATCAACAAGCTACAGAGTATTTAGCAACAATACTCAACAACCAAATTTCAAAGTCATCGATTAAAACATGTCCAGCATTTTCTCACACTCACTCAGCTGGTACACAGCAAGCGTGAGCTTCTCTACCATGACTTCCACCATCACTGGACCTACATGAGAAAACAAGGCCTCCCCGTCAACATAAGTGAGGGGGAGCTGCGTGTTTAGCTTTCACTGTCTGAACTCCCCAACTTGCACCAGTCACACTGCAAGCACTTAGTAGCCATGGGTGGCAGTGGCTCCTCACAGAATGTGCAAGTGCTCTGGAGTGAAGTACCCAACAGTGAAAAAAGAAAGAGCTGCTGCATCCAGCCAACACTAGGCAGGAATGGAAAACAGTGTATGTACAGCTCCAGTGTTTTTCCAGTCCAGAAATCTTCTCTTTTATGTGAAAGCTCAGTTTCAAATGTCCAATATTCAAGTTTTTAAGAAAAGTGTGTGGCAAAACACAACGTGAGCAGGCCCTGTGATTCTCAAGCCAGGAGCTGTCTTTGATGCTCTAATGTGTGTGCATCTCTGACTTTCTCCAAATTAGGATGCTGTCCTTTGACATAGCATTGACTTTTGTAACATTTAATTTAGTTCGGCTTAACATACAGTGAAGATATTGGGGTAAAAATGAAAATACAACAGATGTTGGTATCAAAAGGTCTTTGACATTAGTGCTAAGCTCTCTTTCCTCAGAACCAAGTACAGTCAATGGCTGTTTGTTATGCTAATTAAACAGTAATCTTGTTAGGGAGCAGGACACAGGACCAACCACCCCCCTAAAAATGGACTAGACAGAAAATTAGTGCATACAAAAGAAGAAATGGCAATGGCTTAAATCACAGGAAATGACGGTCAGCCTTGCTGACAAGAGAAATGGAAGTTAAAGACACATGCCATCTGTCATCTTTCACAATGATTATGGAGGGCAATGTGGCAAAATCCTCAAAATGCAAACACACTTGCCCTGCAGCCCTGCCACACCCTCTGGTAACCTAAAGAGAACAGGCAGAAGTGCAAACAACCTGCGTGATCTTCACCACCTTCACCACCGCAGGACAGGTAACAGCGACTGACTGGAAGCAACACAGATAACCAGAGACAGGGTCAGGAAACCATGATTCCACCCCACACAGAAGAAGGGAATGAGAAGGAGTGCTTGATGCTGGCATGGAGGAAATAGAAGGACAGAATGTTGAAATAAAAAGGAAAGGTGGGGGGGGAGTGCGTATATTACACTACCATTCATCTAAAAAAGGGAAAGGGAGTAAAAATAAGTTTAAAGAATAACAATCTTGGGCCGGGGATTTAGCTCAGTGGTTCCGGTGCCTGCCGCACAAGTGGAAGGACCCAAGTTCGATCCCCAGTATCAAGAAAAAAAAATAACAATCTCATAAAAACTCTAAAGCAAAAAATAATAATAGTGTTTTGTTTTGTTGAGACAGGGTCTCGTTATGTAGTTCAGGGTGGCCTTGAACTCATGTAGCCTGGGCTGGCCTTGACCTCTCGACAATCCTCCTGCCTCAGGCTCCCTAGTGTTGGGATTATAGGCATGAGCCTCTTCGCCCAGCTAGTGCCTATGTATTGAATTGCTTCCATTCTAGGAACAACTTCAAGTAACTTAAATGCATTAATTTGCTTATATGGTCCTAGTTGGAGATAGTCTAAAGACAACCCTAGCACCAAAAAATAAACAATAACATCTCCATTCAATCCCTAGCACACACAAAAGTTTCATGTTGCTTATAGTAGTGTCAGATAGCCTGTCGTGTGTGTGTGTGTGTGTGTGTGTGTGTATGTGTATGTGCAAGAGAGAGGAGAGAGAAGCAAATTACTATATTGGTGTCATTAAAAATGAGATTTAAGACCCGACAGAGATACAGATATAGATGACAGAGCAGTAAGATATAGATGACAGAGCAGATATAGATGACAGAGCAGTAAGATATAGATGACAGAGATACAGATATAGATGACAGAGCTAGAAAGCCCGATGTGCTGGCACATGCCTGTAATTTCAGTACTCAGGAGGCTGAGGCAGGAGGACTGCTATGAGTTCAAACCAAGCAAGGGCTACATATTGAAACCCTGTCTCAAAAAACAAACAAACAAACAAACAAATATGTGTGTGTGTGTGTGTGTGTGTGTATATATATATATATATGCTAGATAAAATTTCGAGTTGAATTCGAAATATCAGTATGAACTCACACTGCATTTTATCTAGGGCAGGGGTATATTATATTTCCTACTTCTGTTGACTGAAATGGCCTAGTAATAGTAACCAACCCAGTAAGAATGAAAACTTTCCCATCCAGTCCAATAGTAAACATGGAATAAGTTTCATTCATTCAGTAAATCAATGAAGAGATGACAGAATGAGATTACTATTACTTTGAAATTCTGATAAAATAACAGAACTATCAATCAATGGTTGCTAATTATCATTAAAAGAGATATATGTGCCCTTTAGAGTAAATACACACCACTACCCATGAAGTATTCTGTGGGAGGCAGGGTACCAAACCAGAATGTGACTGAACTTAATAGATTTAATTACTATTAGGAAATGTAAAAGACAAACTGGGCATGATGGTGTGTGTCTGTATTCCTAGATACTTGGGAGACCAAGGCAGAAGGATCATTTGAGCCCAAGATTTCAAGTTCATCCTGGATCACATAGTAAGACCTTGTCTCAAAAACGAGGAGGGCCAGAAGGAGGGTGGAAGGCAGGGAGGGAGGAAGGGTGGCAGGTAGGCAGGCAGAGAAAATGCAAAACACAAGGAACAAGCTGGGCATGCTGGTGATGGCTTATGCCTGTAATCCTAGCACTCTGAAAGGCTGAGGCAGGCTGATGGAAAGTTTGAGCCCAGCTCAGGCAACTCAGAGAATTAGTGAGACCTTGTCTTGAAATGAAAAAATGTTTAAAGGGCTGGGGATATAGCTCAGTGCTAAGGTCCTAGGTTCAATCACCAACACTGCTTAAAAAAAGGTTTAATAGGACAAAAAGATGCAATCACCCAGGCATAGTGGCACACACCTGTAATCTCTAAGAGCCCAAGGCAAAAGGATTCCAAATCTGAGGCAACAAGGAAGACCCTGTCTTAAAACTTTTTGTAAAAGGCTGGAGACATAGCTCAGTGGGAGAGGGCTTGCCTCAAATATGCAAGGCTCTGGCTCCATTCCCCAGTACTGCACACACACCCACAGGAAAATGCTATCAGCCATATCTGGACTACAGGTTATGTATGCCACAGGACAAAACTCTCGGCTTCTTTAATACATACACTGAGGCAAGGGAAAGGAGAGAGAAACCTGTGATTCAAAGAGATTTAACAACAGACAGGTCAACAGACTTCAATAAATATCTCTTAGGTAGATTTTAATTTGAACTATTTAAAAAGAGAGAGGGAAAGTTGGATACAACAGACATCTGAATATTAAGAAACTGTTAATCTTTATCTGGTGTGATATACTGTGATCGTATATTCAAAGAAAAAGAAAGCCCTTCTTGGAATATCTGTAATTAAAATGAAATTCGTGTGATTCATTTTGAAATCATGGTGCAAAGGCATGTAAGGAAGAATAAATGAAAAAAATCTGACTATGACTTGATATTTGTGAGAGCTGAGTGATGACAAGAAGGGCTTTATTTTACAATTTTTCCCTGATTTTATATATGTTAATATCTTCCCTAAATAAAATCATTAAGAATTTTAAGAAAGTAGATGGGTGCTCCAAAACCTTCCTTTCTTAAAATAAAGCATATAAACATATTTTCTTTTCTTGGGGGGGAGGGGGGGATTGAACTTGGGACCTTGTGCTTGTGAGGACTGAACTTGGGACCTTGCACTTGTGAGGCAGGCAGCAGAACCACTGAGCTAAATCCCTGGGCCATAAACGTATTTTCTAATGCTAAGTATCTGGTTTAAAAGTATACAAAAATCTAAGCATAGTAAATCTGATCCTTTCCTAGAAATGTAAGAATATTTTTACTTAGGAGTCATTTTTTCTGTTGTAGCAAGAAACAAATCTATAAAACAGAAGTCAGGTACAAAGGTATCTGGACGTTGAAACACAATGGTAGGGAAAAGAAGCTAGCAAGTATAGTGCAGTCCAGATGTGCTGGTCAGGGCCAGCTCACCAAGCCCAAGAAGGCTGCAAAGTGGCAAGGTAGACAACACAGGGTGCCTCCCTACAGTTTCGTCCTGCCTGTCTCAGCTGAACTCCATTTCTGAGATGAGAATGACTAACAGAAATTATATGCTTCTAATGGTTTCTGGCATTTTGGTTTTAATATACCTTCATTTAAAATTTTTTTCTCATTACACAGTTGAACTAGGTTCTTTAAAAATGTGAATAGCAGTGCTTGCTTCGGCAGCACATATACTAAAAATGTGAATAGCATACAAAAAATGCTCAGAATCTAAACAGAAAAATGAAGAACTAGGAGGCACCTGAAGCCACTATGCCCTTATAAGCATCACTGCTGCCTGTACCTGATGTGTCTACTTGGGACAGGCATCATTGCTGTCCATGCTGATCACACTAACCCCGCTTTCCTCAGGGCTTCAAAATGGGCACAGGACCCAATCCACAGAGATGGAGACTACTGGAGACTTTCTGGGGAAACTGTCCTAGCTCCTGAAGGGAAAAGAAGGAAGGATCTTCTTCTCAAAACTTGCTATACTTAATTTACCGTAAGACCCATTACTACTTTATGTGCTTACAAAAGGACAAATGGGGTCAATGAACTATAATCACACCAAAGAACACAGAGTGAAGCCCAAATGCAGAGATAAAATCTGAATCTAAAAAAGCATCTCAGAATCAGCGAAATGCAGCTAGCAGCCTTCACGTGAAGCCAGCCCTTGGAGGGCAGGCGGCATCAAGGGAATCTCTGAAAAGCCCAGTGAGACTGGGCTGACCTGACAGGACAGCCAGTTGTGAGATGTGAACCACCACACTGAGCCAGAGGATGCCAGTCAAAGCTTCCTGACTAAAATAAGGATCAAAACAGAGGAGTCTCAGTAAACTGAGCAAAACATAAAAGGGCACAGGTCACAACACAAGGTTCCAACTGGAAAGTACTAACCATTCTGACTCTTCTGAAGGAAAACCTGGATGTTTTGTTTGGTTTTGGTCTGGTTTTCTTGAGACCAGAGTTTTGCTATTTAGCTCAGGTTGGCCTCAAACTCACAACAATCCCCCTGGCCTCAGCCTCCCAAGTGCTGAGATTACGGGTATGCACCACCACTCCAAGCAGGATAAGCTGTTTTCTAAAGATAAATCTTTTTATTTTTCTCAGGGCTGGGCTTGAACCCAAGGCCCCATGCATGTAACTCAGGCAATCTACCACTGAGCTACATCCCCAGCCTAAAAATCCTTTAAAATAAATGTATGTGGTAACTAAATGTCCATCAGTGGGTGAATAGAAAAGCAAACCATGATACAGAAACACAATGAATTATTCAGACTTTAAAAGGAAGGAAATTCTGACACATGCTACAATGCATGAGGACATTGTGCCTGTCAGTAAGCCAGCCACAAACAGCTAAGTTGTCTGGGGTAGAGCAGCCCAACATTCGGAGAAAGGAAGCAAACAGTGGGGCTGGAGCAGAAGGGGGCAGGGAATTCCTGCCTATGGACAGAGCTGCAGTTTCACACAATAAAGACTTGTGGAGGTGGAATGTGGTGATAGTTGCACAACAGTAATATACCTTATGTCACTGAACTGTATGTTTAAAAATGGTTATAACAGCAAATTTTATGTTGCGTATATTTTACAATTTGTTTAAAGTATATGGTTATCTGAAAAAAAAATATATATAAAATTCTGTATAGCAATAACAACAGTTCTAAGATGCTGCCCAACAGAATAAAAGGCTAACAGAAAAATAAGAAATAAAAATGTATTAAAGACGCTACTAAGGTTTACCTGATGGCTAGGACCAACGCGAATTTCCCCCTGAGTACTGTTCAGCCTCCTGTCGTGAAAAGAACAGATTAGGTTAGCATAATGTAGTTCTGACATAAATAATCACACATTTTTCAGGAAAGTGATTCACTTCAAATAAGCAAGGGACAACTCAAAGGGAATTAATGACGTTGCCTCATACGTGTTCAGCAACCTCTACTCACCTCCCTGACTCTCCTTCCTTCTCCGTGCTGACGGCCTCGCATCCCGGGATCCTCCCACACCTGTCCCCGCTGCCCGGCAGGGCCAGCCACTCCCACACAGCAAGCAGCCCTTCAGGGAGGCCACCCTCTCCACTTCCATGTCCAACCGGCCACGGACGATGTTCACCAGACACACACAAGGTGACCGGCGTTCCTAGGACGCACACTGGACCGTGCCTCAGTCATTCATCCACTCAAACCCCATTTGATTTCTTACCTACTCTAACTCTAAGTCAGGAGCCGTCCGGGATGTTAGTGATAAAGCAAAGAACAAAACAGCACCCTGCCTCTTAGAACTTATATTCTAATTAGGGAAAAAGAAATCACAGATCAGGGCGGGGGATTTAGCTCAGTGGTTTCGCAGCCTGCTGTGCAAGCACAAGGACCTGAATTCGATCCCCGGTACCAAAACAAGAAAAGAAAAGAAAAGAAAAGAGAAGAAGGAAGGAAGAAAGAAGGAAAGAAACCACAGATCAGATGATGATGAGTCCCAATAGATTAAGTCAATGGTAGATGATATTTTTTTTGGTACCAGGGATCGAACTCGGGACCTTGCTCTTGAGAAGCAGGCGGTGGAACCACTGAGCTAAATCCCCAGCCCGATGGTTGATGATTTAAAGCTAAGTATTTTTTCAGCACTGGTGGGGATGACAACCTTTTTATAACCCTTTCTACAGGACAATGAAAAGAAGTTCTATTAATAAACGGAAATGTGAACACAGAAGAGGAGAAGCGAGGGAAGGCACCCAGCAGGGGTGTGGGGTACCCCCGTGGCCTGTCCCACACTTGTCACACTGGCGAGACTCGCTCCCTTGCTCCAAATGCAAACCAGCCAGGCTCCCCTGAAAAGCCACCATTTCCAGAGGCCTTCCTCCTGCCCTCTCTGCCACTTACCACCTCCCCAGAGTGAGATCTCTTCCTCATTCGTTTCGTCATGACTACTCGCTGAATGTCTTTTTTTGGTCCAAGGCCTTGTATAGGACACTGAGTAGACGCAGAAATCCTGCTCTCCACGGGGCCCTAGCAGCTGCAATCCAACTATCTGCGGACCACCTCAGGAAGACCTTTCTCGTGCCCAGGGCTAAGCCACTGCCGCCTTATCCGCTCCACTGAACTTTAGCGGTGCCAAGGAAAAGGCTTTCAAACAACTGACTGTTGCCTTGGACTGAGATGAAGAACACAATAGCACAAAAGACCCGAGAGGAGGGAAGGGCTCTGGTTTTCCTCCTGTAGATCTAATCAGCACCCCCATTATGTTTCAAGTCGTTAAAATGAATTTTGAAAAACCACTCTTTCCTTTAGGACCCGTGGGTCTAAGTTTTCCTCTGCAAGAGCTGTTTTGGCAAAGGTGGGCAGCAGATATGACAGAGAAGGAGAGGAGAGTAACAAAGAGCAGAGACAACATGTGGTGCAGTCCCTTAACCTTAAGAAACTCCCGAGGGAAGGGAGGGTTAGCTCAGTGGTTCCACTGCCTGCCTCGAAAGGTTCCGAGTTCGATCCCCAGCACCAAAAAAAAGAGAGAGAGAGAGAGAAAGAAACTCACAGAGGAGGTGGCATCCATCTCCTACATACCAGAATGGGAATTACTATACTCATGAACCCAAAACATTTCAGGAGGAACAGTACAAGAACACTAAAGGGAGTTCTGAAAATTAAGCAGGCTTTATGCAGAGACCATCCCAGAAGTAGCACAGTTCTAAAGAGACTCTGAGGATGACAAGAGCCCCAACAGCCAGGCCAAGGAGGACTTCCCAAGTGGGAGTAACCCTGCTGAGGTGGCAGGCTGAGAGGGGACCTCACAGAAGAACTGGTACAAAGACCAGGCTTGTTTTCTTTGGTAGCAGAATGGCAAGTGGCAAATGGACAGCACTAGTAGGCTAGGCGCTGCTTCTCGAGGTAGGCAGAATCAAATCAGCTGGAGGCTATTCCAATCATGAGTACTTTCTAGAAAGCAAGCAGGGTTAACCACTATTCTCTTCCAACATGTCCACTTCTGTCTCTTAACTAGCTGCCCAAAGTTCTGGCCTTTATTTCCAAATACTTTCCAATGCTTGCCTGTCTACAAGAAGGTCTAGCCAAAACGTATCACTTCAGGGAGCTCCAGCCACCCCCCAGGAACTGCACCTACACAGCTCAACCTTCACATTCTTGTAGGGCTGTATAATTTTAGCCTCCTCACTTGGCTGGTTATGAAACCTTTCCACATCACTGCTATATACACTGTTAAAATAATGTGCCATGGGCCAGGGATTTAGCTCAGTGGTTTCGTTGCCTACTGCACAAGGGCAAGGACCCAAGTTCGATCCCCAGCACCAAAAAAATAATGTGCCATGATAACAAAACCAACCACCGAATACCTCAAATAGAACTATTCATATCCCACTTATTTCTGTTAATAGAAGGCAAATAATTAATACACTAGCCAAGTGTGGTGGTGCACATCTGTAATCCCAGCACTCATGAGGCTGAGGCAAAGAGGACTGAAGCAAATTTGAGGCCAGTCTGGGCTCCATAGTGAGCTCAAGGCCAGCCTGAATTTCATAGCGAGACCCTATCTCAAAAAAAAAAAATTAATACACTAACAATGATACAAGTGAGAATCCCTCCAAAATTTGGGAGGGTGTGGTAAGATCCTAAGTTAGAAACTGTCTCTTTTTAAGTTTATATCAAGGAAAAGTACTAATAAAATAGTAGGTTATAAACCATAAAATAAGATAAGGAACCTTCTTAAAAAGTTATTTTTAAATCAGCCTCTCTAACAAAAGTATTTCTTTTTTAAAAAAAAGTATTTTTAGACCATATGCAACTTTTAAATAGGATTTCCAAACAAGGGATACCACAAACTCATTGCTGAGTAGCTTTAGGATTGAAAGTGCAGACAGTGGCATTAGGCTACCATAGCCAAGAACCACAGAATATAGAATAAATGCTAGAAATACTTTTTTTAGGTCAAAGATAATAAAAAGGCTAGATGTGGTGGCACATCCCTGTAATTCAAAGATAGCCTGACATAATACAGTGAGACTGTCTCCAAACGGAAAAAAAAAGAATATAAAGAGATAATAATAAAAAGATACAGAAAACAGAATTAGAAAAAGTTGGATGCATCTGGCAAAATAAGTAAATGAAAGTCTGCCTGAATATAAACTAAAGAGGAAAGACAAGAAACTTGGAGGGAAACCTGGCCGCATCTGGCTCTATCCAAAATGAATGGGACAATCGCATGGTCCCACCCGTCAGATGTTCTTCACTTGCTGCTGTACCCTTAGGCCAGGGTCAAAGCCCCTGCTTAGCCTGCAAGAGGTGAAGAGAGGGAGGGAGAGAGGGAGGGAAGCAGGCGGAGAGGAAGAGAGCCAGGGAGAGAGGGAGGCAGGGAGGTGGGCAAGCAGGGTGACTTTGCTCCAATTTGGACATCTCTCCACCCTGGAGCTGCAAGCTTCTAAAGAATTTCTTCCAGAATCTGAGTTCATGACTGCTGCTCTCTATGCATCTAGGATGTATTAAAAGTTCCTTGGCTGCATGAGTACTTCCAGACTATTAATGTAGATGTGACAGAAAGTAATTCTTAAACACAGTATAATGCTGGGCATGGTGGTGCACACATGTAACACTGGCACTTGGGAGGCTGAGGCAGGAGGTTTGCACCACGTGCTCGAGGCCAGCTTGGGCTACATAATGAGGTCAAAGCCAGCCTAAACTACATGGTGAAACTCTATCTCAAAGAAGAAAAAAAAAATCAACAGCTTGTACTAAACTAAATTCTTAGTCGTCATATGATGAAACTAGTACGCTTTCTCTCAACATGGCAACTCTCAAACCTTTAGGTCTCAGGACTCTTTTATACTCTAAATTACCAAGCATACCAAGGATTTATGTTTTGGAGAATTTTCAAAATATTTATTAATTTAAAAATAGCAACAAGCCCATTACATTATACCAGGGATAACACACCTTTATAAAATGTATACTCACAACAACAGTGAAGTTAGCCATGGTGGCCCACGCCTGTAACCCCAGCAAACTGGAAAGCTGAGAAGGAGGTTTCCAAGTTTGAGCCCAGCATGGGCAAATTAGGCAGACCCTATCTCAAAATAAAAAGTGGGCTGGGGATATATTTCAATGTGAAGGCCTGGGCTCAAAAAGAAAATAAAAAGAGAAAACAGACATTGTTTTTAAGATTTTGCAAATATCTCATAAATATCTGACTTAACAAAGGTCACATGGATTCTTATACCTGCTGCTACATTCAATTTGTTGCAAAATGTTGTTTTAGTTAAAGCACATGAAGAAAATATGCCTACGCCTCACACAGCTCTGTAATGGGACAAAGGGAGACTCCTTAACAGCCTTTGATACTACACCGAGACATAACCAGAGATAAGTTTCTTAAAGGCTTGTAAGCAATGTGAATCTAAACCCTTAACAATAATCATCTGGCCTCTTTACACCAAGTCCATGGTTTGTTTTGACCTAAGGATGGACCTTCTACTCGGACACGATTCTGTGATGTCACACATTGGTAATATGGAAAATGCTGGTTCACCAAGGTTTGCAGACCTTCCAAACATTGACAAAGTTCATGATACAGTATTTTTAAAAAATCACACTCAGGGCCAGGGATTTAGCTCAGTGGTTCTGCCACCTGCCTCGCAAGCACAAGGACCTGAGTTCGAGCCCCGGTACCAAAACATAAAAATAAAAATAAAAATAGCACTCAGTAATATTACCACCCAGCTCATAAGAAAAACGTTCAAGCATAGAGAAGCCATCAGGCTCAGAGTGGTGAGGACAGGTTTTGAAGATGTGT